AATGGCCATAACTCCTTAAATATTGAGTTTTCAGCGATTCTAGCTATTATTTGTGATCACTTTTTTAGGAGTGAATTAATGAAAACTTTAAAATGGCCATAACTCCTTAAATATTGAGTTTTCAGCGATTCTAGCTATTATTTGTGATCACTTTTTTAGGAGTGAATTAATGAAAACTTTAAAATGGCCATAACTCCTTAAATATTGAGTTTTCAGCGATTCTAGCTATTATTTGTGATCACTTTTTTAGGAGTGAATTAATGAAAACTTTAAAATGGCCATAACTCCTTAAATATTGAGTTTTCAGCGATTCTAGCTATTATTTGTGATCACTTTTTTAGGAGTGAATTAATGAAAACTTTAAAATGGCCATAACTCCTTAAATATTGAGTTTTCAGCGATTATAGCTATTATTTGTGATCACTTTTTTAGGAGTGAATTAATGAAAACTTTAAAATGGCCATAACTCCTTAAATATTGAGTTTTCGGCGATTCTAGCTATTATTTGTGATCACTTTTTTAGGAGTGAATTAATGAAAACTTTAAAATGGCCATAACTCCTTAAATATTGAGTTTTGAGCATTTTTAGCTATTATTTGTGATCACTTTTTTAGGAGTGAATTAATGAAAACTTTAAAATGGCCATAACTCCTTAAATATTGAGTTTTCAGCGATTCTAGCTATTATTTGTGATCACTTTTTTAGGAGTGAATTAATGAAAACTTTAAAATGGCCATAACTCCTTAAATATTGAGTTTTCAGCGATTCTAGCTATTATTTGTGATCACTTTTTTAGGAGTGAATTAATGAAAACTTTAAAATGGCCATAACTCCTTAAATATTGAGTTTTCAGCGATTCTAGCTATTATTTGTGATCACTTTTTTAGGAGTGAATTAATGAAAACTTTAAAATGGCCATAACTCCTTAAATATTGAGTTTTCAGCGATTCTAGCTATTATTTGTGATCACTTTTTTAGGAGTGAATTTATGAAAACTTTAAAATGGCCATAACTCCTTAAATATTGAGTTTTCAGCGATTATAGCTATTATTTGTGATCACTTTTTTAGGAGTGAATTAATGAAAACTTTAAAATGGCCATAACTCCTTAAATATTGAGTTTTCAGCGATTCTAGCTATTATTTGTGATCACTTTTTTAGGAGTGAATTAATGAAAACTTTAAAATGGCCATAACTCCTTAAATATTGAGTTTTGAGCGTTTTTAGCTATTATTTGTGATCACATTTTTAGGAGTGAATTAATGAAAACTTTAAAATGGCCATAACTCCTTAAATATTGAGTTTTCAGCGATTCTAGCTATTATTTGTGATCACTTTTTTAGGAGTGAATTAATGAAAACTTTAAAATGGCCATAACTCCTTAAATATTGAGTTTTCAGCGATTATAGCTATTATTTGTGATCACTTTTTTAGGAGTGAATTAATGAAAACTTTAAAATGGCCATAACTCCTTAAATATTGAGTTTTCAGCGATTCTAGCTATTATTTGTGATCACTTTTCTAGGAGTGAATTAATGAAAACTTTAAAATGGTCATAACTCCTTAAATATTGAGTTTTGAGCATTTTTAGCTATTATTTGTGATCACTTTTTTAGGAGTGAATTAATGAAAACTTTAAAATGGCCATAACTCCTTAAATATTGAGTTTTCAGCGATTCTTCTTTAAAATGGCCATAACTCTTTAAATATTGAGTTTTGAGCATTTTTAGCTATTATTTGTGATCACTTTTTTAGGAGTGAATTAATGAAAACTTTAAAATGGCCATAACTCCTTAAATATTGAGTTTTGAGCGTTTTTAGCTATTATTTGTGATCACTTTTTTAGGAGTGAATTAATGAAAACTTTAAAATGGTCATAACTCCTTAAATATTGAGTTTTGAGCATTTTTAGCTATTATTTATGATCACTTTTTTAAGCACGAATTAATGAAAACTTTAAAATGGCCATAACTCTTTAAATATTGAGTTTTGAGCATTTTTAGCTATTATTTGTGATCACTTTTTAGGAGTGAATTAATGAAAACTTTAAAATGGCCATAACTCCTTAAATATTGAGTTTTGAGCGTTTTTAGCTATTATTTGTGATCACTTTTTTAGGAGTGAATTAATGAAAACTTTAAAATGGCCATAACTCCTTAAATATTGAGTTTTCAGCGATTCTAGCTATTATTTGTGATCACTTTTTTAGAGTGAATTAATGAAAACTTTAAAATGGCCATAACTCCTTAAATATTGAGTTTTCAGCGATTCTAGCTATTATTTGTGATCACTTTTTTAAGCACGAATTAATGAAAACTTTAAAATGGCCATAACTCTTTAAATATTGAGTTTTCAGCGATTCTAGCTATTATTTGTGATCACATTTTTAGGAGTGAATTAATGAAAACTTTAAAATGGCCATAACTCCTTAAATATTGAGTTTTCAGCGATTCTAGCTATTATTTGTGATCACTTCTTTAGGAGTGAATTAATGAAAACTTTAAAATGGCCATAACTCCTTAAATATTGAGTTTTCAGCGATTCTAGCTATTATTTGTGATCACTGTTTTAGGAGTGAATTAATAAAAACTTTAAAATGGCCATAACTCCTTAAATATTGAGTTTTCAGCGATTCTAGCTATTATTTGTGATCCCTTTTTTAGGAGTGAATTAATGAAAACTTTAAAATGGTCATAACTCCTTAAATATTGAGTTTTCAGCGATTCTAGCTATTATTTGTGATCACTTTTTTAGGAGTGAATTAATGAAAACTTTAAAATGGCCATAACTCCTTAAATATTGAGTTTTCAGCGATTCTAGCTATTATTTGTGATCACTTTTTTAGGAGTGAATTAATGAAAAATTTAAAATGGCCATAACTCCTTAAATATTGAGTTTTCAGCGATTCTAGCTATTATTTGTGATCACTGTTTTAGGAGTGAATTAATGAAAACTTTAAAATGGCCATAACTCCTTAAATATTGAGTTTTCAGCGATTCTAGCTATTATTTGTGATCACTTTTTTAGGAGTGAATTAATGAAAACTTTAAAATGGACATAACTCCTTTAATATTGAGTTTTTTTTGCCCAAGAACTGTTTACAAAGTACAAAAAATATCCAAGCTATAAAATATTGCGCAATAATTAGCCTTGAGGCCTATGCTTTTAAAAATTCGGCAGCTATCTAGTGGGAAAAAACATTATTATTAATATATGGCATATTAAATTCCATTTCATTAAGCACCATTTAACACTAATTTGTTTTAATTGTAGATGATTTAAAAGCGTGGTATAATTTCGTAAATATGTGTGTTTGTAGAACCAAAAAATAAATGATAAATAAATTAATATGCAAGGTCAATTGGTCAAAAACATAAATGAAAATTTTCCATATTTTTGGCAGAATTTTTTTTTGCAAAGGTATAGCGACAAAGGGTAAATATTTAACAAAAAATCAAATATTTTATTGCCATAATGTGACCACAAATATTCTTGAAGGTCAATCACGGAAACAATAGATTTTGGGAAAACAAAAATAATTGCTTGCAAGCACAAATTTTACCAATGTGATCTGCAAATATTTTCCTCTGTTTTGGGTAAAATATTATTTTATTTTTTCCTCTGTTTTGGGTAAAATATTATTTCATTTTTTTCTCCGGCCAATTTATATTGTTTCACTTCAGCAACCAGTGGCACGTTCTCTTACAAAAAACTATGAAAATCGCACTCTTAAGCTGAGAATACATAAATCGCTTATTTGACTGGCTCAAGCCATCGACGACTGGCTTCTTCGGAAAAGAACAAAGGAGCGTAGGGCCAAAATCGAAGAAGCCAGTCAAAAAAGCGTTTTATATATTCTCACCCTTAAGGTGAGATTACATAAACACCTTATCATCATGGCTAGGCATATTATTATTATTATTATTATTATTATTATTATTATTATTATTATTATTATTATTATTATTATTATTATTATTATTATTATTATTATTATTATTATTATTATTACTATTATTATTATTATTATTATTATTATTATTATTATTATTATTATTATTATTATTATTATTATTATTATTATTATTATTATTATTATATTATTATTATTATTATTATTATTATTATTATTATTATTATTATTATTATTATTATTATTATTATTATTATTATTATTATTATTATTATTATTATTATTATTATTATTATTATTATTATTATAATTATTATTATTATTATAATTATTATTATTATTATTATAATTATTATTATTATTATTATTATTATTATTATTATTATTATTATTATTATTATTATTATTATTATTATTATTATTATTATTATTATTCTAAAATGACCGGACAATTGAGTACATTTATAAATGTCAGAATAACAATAGTAGTGTTAATATTTCAAACATTACAATCCATACAAGTAGACCTCTTTTTTACAACTCTCTCAAACTTATTCTACCTTTTATTTATTGTAACGCGGTCAGAAAATCAGTTAAAAAAACAATTTTAGCGGTCTTTTAATGAATATCTCATGTTGTCTTTCTTCTGTCCTTTTCATTTGTTTTTTTTTTTTACTTTCTTGTAAAAATCCTATTCAGCCATGTTATTTTTCTCCAACAGTAATTTATTTGATTTAATTTAACGTCTCTTTTTTAATGTGTAGAACTTGTGGTGTCGTCACGGCCACCGTAATGTGCTGAAGTTGGCTGCACTGATGTTTAATATGCAATGGACTCTTGTAGAAATATGTGTGTCTTAGTGGGAATATCATAAATTCTACTATTGCATATTTTTCTCTTACCTAAACATCAATTCAGATGCAGACAGACTTGTTTCGGAAGCATTAATAACCAGAAATTGCCATAAATTGATGATTTACTCACCTTTGCCGTATTCATGATACGAACTCATTTAAGAATCAACTCTGTGGGGGAAATTTGCATTTCTGACGCCGTTAGTTTTTAAGTTCGAGCAACTTGGTTTTGCAGCGCACTCATTTTACCGTCTTCAATCAGAAAACACAACCAACTTCGTTCTGCTGTATTGCAAACATTTTTTTATTTGGAAAAGTCGAGAACAAATCGTGATATATTCACAGATATTTTAAATTGGTGAGAAGTTCCCCGTCAAATTGGAGCAGCGTTTAGGCCACGCGTTAGAAAAGAGTCCAGGAGGAAGTAGTTAATAATATTAATATCCTTTTTTAAGCAAAACTTCAAAGAAAACCACACAACCATGACTCGTAAGTAGAAATAAAAAGAAAATTCGAAATTTGTAGGCCATGTATGGAGGTGTGTGTGTGCGCCTATGTGTGATGAGTTTTTTTTTTTTTTGTTAATTTATAAAATAGTGAATAAAATTATTCTTTGTCACGCATGAAAATGTTCTTCTGTTTTTGGAATGAAAGACAAAGAAATGATATCATATCTCTCACACGTCATATGAGATGTGGCCAAAAACATCTCATATGACTGGCGCTGCTGCATTGCTTCCTATTACATCCCGTTTAGTTTTTCTGTTTTACACAGCTTTGTGTGTATGTGCCTTGGTACATATGTACACACATAGATCATTATGTATTCTATTATTCTAATATCTAATTTATTTAATTGCATTTTAATTTGATAGGAGGAAATCAACGTGAACTTGCTCGTGCTAAAAACCAAAAGAAACAACAAGAAATCAACAAAGGCAAACGTACTGACAATTTAACCGTCGAACAACGCAAACAAAGGTAATATAAATAAGTGAAAAAAAAGAAATGAATACGTACGATATCTATGTAATATGTGTATATACTAACAAAACAAACACATCTGTGTTTATATATTTTTTGTAGATATTTTTGTGTTTTTAGCATAACCTCGAAAGTGTTTCTGCTTTGGAAATTTGTAGTTAGTTCTTTATTTTGAAGCGAAGATAGTGAGTAGTGACTACGTTCAATTACGCAGTACCTGTATTTCCATTGTGATTAATTAGCAATGAAATCACCTGCGCTATTTTCCATAGCATGTATTTGCCAATGCTTGTTTGTAAACAAAAACAGATATAGAGAGCTGGAGGGGACAGGAGGGAATATGTGGCAGGAATGGAAAGATAGACTTATTTGAAATACGGGGGTTTACACGTTCCGTGCTTTTGCCATATGTAGGTCACTCTCATCTGTTCACACAAATAGATGATTCTGGTGCTTCCGAAGATGTGGTTGTAGGAATTCCTAAAAGTGAGCTAGCCCTTAGATTGGTTATACCTACTTGGACTAAATTTTAATATATTATAAAAATAAGTTGAGTATTGGTTGTCTTATAGATGTAGAAGATTCTATCGGTCTTTTAAATAGAGGACCTTCAATTGATAATATTCCATGTACAGAAAAGCTTCTAATAATAAAATGCCATCTAGAGAAGAAGGACGTCTTAGAGATTTTCCAAAACCCAAATTTTATATTTTGTATAGTCAAAAATGTCTTTCAAGTTGAACAATCTGTAAGAAGATGCAATACCTTTCATACAGGGTGAGATAAAAAACTCCAACAAAGTCAAACGCCATAATTTTTATTTTTTTTATTTATTTATTTTTTTAAATGAAAGCAAAACATTTCGGAAATAGCATCAAATTTTAGATTACGTTTAGATTTGTTCGAATTGGCCAACTTTGCCACGAATTAGGGCCTTCAAATGGCCAATGAAACCGTCACACGCTGCCCGAATGTTGCTCTGCGGTATTTTAGCCCATTCCCGCCAAAGCGCTTGCTTGAGGTGATCGACACGTTGCTATTTTTTAGTGCCAACCTTGCTTTCCAAAATACTCCAGGCACTATAGTCCAACGGATTGATATCCGGAGATTTTGGGGGCTATTGTGCGCTGGAAATGAAGCGAGGAACCTCATTTTGGAAATATTCATGGGTGACGCGTGCTGAGTCCTGTTGGAATGCCTAAGGTCTGCGGACAAAATGTTTTCGTGCCCAAGGCTTTAATACACCCTCCAGAATATTTTCGAGATAATATTCGGCATTTATTCTGATGCCACAGTCGATTAATACGACCGGAGAGCGACCATCGATTGTTATGGTGGCCCACACCATCACCATGACCAGCGCTTGAGTTCTGGTGGCCAAACGAAGGTGCACATTTTCAGTTGACGTCTTTGGCAAGTAAATACGATCATTTTGTTTGTTTACAAACCGCTCAACCTCGAATTTTTTCTCATCGGAGAAAACCAAATTCCGCAGTTCATCACTTTCGGCCAAGCGAAACAACTCTTTTGCTCTTTTGAGTCTATTTTCTTTCTGTTGCGATGTAGGTTCTTCCACTTTTTGGAATTCCAATGGCTTTACCCCGAGCTCATTTTTCCATATTTGCCGAATGGAATATTGGAATATGGCCACTGCGACGCGGGTTTCGATCAAGTCGTCGCTTCTTTACTCTTCGAGCCATTTCTGCTGATGTTGTGTTTTCTCCCGTTTTTAAGCCATTTTTAGGAGGTATGTTTAAGGTTCCAGTCATAATGGTTAAGTCAAAAAACGGGATTCGTATTCCAAAATTGGCAAAACAGAACATTTCTGCTTTTAAAGTTTTAGTGAAGTTCGTTCAAGTAAATGTCGTATCTTTGTAAAACTCATAAATAAGATGGCGGTTTAAATTAGCCTTTATTTTAACCCTAAGATGAGTTTTAAAATTTTACTATGAGTAGTTTCTGGCCTCAAAGCTACCTATGATGAAACATGTGCCCAAGGCATCCTAAACTTGGCCAATCGACAAATTTTGCCATGAAATCTATGAACATTTTATCGTTTTTCTTTTAATTTATTAATTGTGTTCGATTTTTTTTTACTTTTTACCTTTACATCATAAACTAATTCGTATTCTTTTGATTTTTCAGAGATGCCGAGTTGATGCGAGAGAAACAGCGTAAAAAGGAAGAAGCGGCTAGAGCAGCATCAGGCCAACAAATAGCGGCTAAATAAAAACATCGACACTGCAGCAGCAATAGTTCATCAACATTAAAATGGGGCCCATGGTCGTCATCATCATCAACAACAACAGTCAATCAATCTATAAATACAAGAAGCAAAAGGAAAATTACATTCAAAGTAAAATAATGGCATCATAGCGGTTTCGTCTGAGCTGCTCTGACGGCCTACAAAAGAACTTAACTGAATTATAGACAAACAAACAAACAAACATTCTTTCCTATGTGTTCGCCAAGAACTTGGAGTTTTTTTCTATCTCTTATCAACAACAATGCCGATTAGCTCAATGCGACGTAGCAAAAGAAAATCTTCACAAAAATCATGTCGAAATAGTCACATTTCATATTGTTTTAGATGCTGCAATAGACGATAAGACAGTTCTAGAAACACAATCAAGTATGGCTTTATGCCGGCAAACATAGTTATTTTTAATTCTTTCTTTTTTTTAATTTCCACACAGAAAACAAAAACAAATTCCTATTTTATAACCTAGATGAAGAAACATCCATAAATTATTGTCTCTGACCTCAGCCGCCATTCTTTTGTATTTTGATGAATAATTTTGGCAAACCCATTCTTTTGTATTTAAATTCTTCTCATACATATTCATATTTGCAAAATATTAAGAAGAAATATTTATGTGAAATCTCCTGTAAAGAATTCCAAATGCAATAATCATAAATAGGTTCTTTTTTTTTGATAACGCCTCAACTTCACATAGAAACTAACAGAAACTGAAATAAGTCTAGACAAATATGAATAGACAGCAGAAACAGAAGAAGAATATTTAGTAATTATTTTTTCTTTCCTTTTTAATTTTATGATTTTTTTATAGTTTACTAGACTTGTAAGAATGATATTAAATTTAAAGAAGAAAACAAATTTAAAGAAAAAAAAACAAAAAAAAAACTGAAAAACAATTTCTTAAAATTTAAGAGAGTATATAAATTATAAATTGCAAATTTTGTGAAAAAAAGAAACTACAAAAAACAATAAAACTTAAATATACAATGAAATATTGCATAAAAATGTATTGAATTGATGGGAGGATGTGAGAATAATTGAGAAGAGGATAAGAGAAAAGCCTAATGTGGGAAAGCTGCTGAAGAACGAGAGCTGCAAAATGGTCTTTTGGAAAACATGGTCTGGACACAAAGTGTCACAGATATCAGTCTTTTGTGTGCAGGCAGGTCAAGATCGATGATGGGCTATATGGAATTGTCTGAAATTCTACACAATTAGTTCTGTGTGGGTACTTTACCGCCTGTAAGAAAATTGTCTATATAGGTCCACGATACCGTATAGCCCCCAAATAACGGTACCTCCCGATACTCGGTATTTTGATGATTGTAGCCACATTTTTTATCGGAATTGTCTGAAAATCCACACAAGGAGTTCCTTCTTAGTACTTTACCCCCTGGAGGAGAATTGCCTATTTAGGTCCATGAAAAGTATGGTTTCCGTTTTTTTCAAAAGTATGTTCGTTCACACAAAGTGATGTTTTGGAAAGTATGGTCGTTTACGCAAAGTAATGTTGTGGAAAGTATGGTCGTTTACACAAAGTGATGTTTTGGAAAGTATGGTCGTTTTCACAAAGTAATCTTTTGGAAAACATGGTCTGGACACAAAGTGTCACAGATATCAGTCTTTTGTGTGCAGGCAGGTCAAGATCGATGATGGGCCATGAAATTCTACACAATTAGTTCTGTGTGGGTACTTTACCGCTTGTAAGAGAATTGTCTATATAGGTCCACGATACCGTATAGGCCCCATATAACGGTACCTCCCGATATTCGGTATTTTGATGATTGTAGCCACATTTTTTATCGGAGTTCTCTGAAAATCCACACAGGGAGTTCTTTCTTAGTACTTTATCCCCTGAAGGAGAATTGTCTATAAAGGACCATGAAAAGTATGGTGTTCCTTTTTTGAAAAGTATGGTCGTTTACACAAAGTGATGTTTTGGAAAGTATGGTCGTTTACACAAAGTGATGTTTTGGAAAGTATGGTCGTTAACACAAAGTGATGTTTTGGAAAGTATGGTCGTTTACACAAAGTGTTGTTTTGGAAAGTATGGTTGTTTACACAAAGTGTTGTTTTGGAAAGTATGGTCGTTTACACAAAGTGTTGTTTTGGAAAGTATGGCCGTTTACACAAAGTGTTGTTTTGGAAAGTATGGTCGTTTACACAAAGTGTTGTTTTGGAAAGTATGGTCGTTTACACAAAGTGTTGTTTTGGAAAGTATGGTTGTTTACACAAAGTGTTGTTTTGGAAAGTATGGTTGTTTACACAAAGTGTTGTTTTGGAAAGTATGGCCGTTTACACAAAGTGTTGTTTTGGAAAGTATGGTCGTTTACACAAAGTGTTGTTTTGGAAAGTATGGTCGTTCACACAAAGTGATGTTTTGGAAAGTATGATCGTTTATGGAAAGTATGGATGTTTACACAAAGTGATATTTTGGAAAGTATGGTCGTTTACACAAAGTGATGTTTTGGAAAGTATGCTCGTTTACACAAAGTGATGTTTTAGAAAGTATGGTCGTTTACACAAAGTGATGTTATGAAAAGTATGGTCGTTTACGCAAAGTGATGTTTGGAAAGTATGGTCGTTTACGCAAAGTGATGTTTTGGAAAGTATGGTCGTTTACGCAAAGTGATGTTCGGAAAGTATGGTCGTTTACGCAAAGTGATGTTTTGGAAAGTATGGTCGTTTACGCAAAGTGATGTTTTGGAAAGTATGGTCGTTTACACAAAGTGATGTTTGGAAAGTATGGTCGTTTACACAAAGTGATGTTTTAGAAAGTATGGTCGTTTACACAAAGTAATGTTGTGGAAAGTATGGTCGTTTACACAAAGTGATGTTTTGGAAAGTATGGCCGTTTGTTTTGCAAAGTATGGTCGTTAATGTTTTGGTTTTGCAAAGTATGGTCGTTTACACAAAGTGACGTTTTGGAAAGTATGGTCGTTTATACAAAGTGATGTTTTGGAAAGTATGTTCGTTTACCCAAAGTGATGTTTTGGGAAGTATGGTCGTTTATACAAAGTGATGTTTTGTCGTTTACACAAAGTGATGTTTTGGAAAGTGTGGTCGTTTACACAAAGTGATGTTTTAGGAAGTATGGTTGTTTACGCAAAGTGATGTTTAGAAAAGTATGGTCGTTTACACAAAGTTATGTTGTATAACAAACTTTTTTTGGTGTCGCAGAGTAATATCAATCAAAATCTTTTCAACCAGCATCTCTATTGTTTTCTTTAAAGAGTAGAGCATACTTTTAGGATGATTGATATTATAAGGGATATAACATAACAATATGGCAACTAAAATTTCACACAAAGATTTGTATGAGTATTTACATTTTAGAGATATAGTCATCATAAAATGAGATTCTGAAAGCGATTTTCTGGATCTGATCTGATATCGGCAATAGGCATGTTTATACAGAATACTATTTAATATCTTCTTTATTATAATTCATATTTACAATAACAATATTTTCTAGAATTAGTCCCAGTAGATACCATCTCATCTAAAGAGGACAGTTATTTAAACATTCCAGATTTTCCAGATACATAAGACTTGCGGTGCAGTAGAAGACATTTAAGTGCGAGTGCAATCTCAGTTCCAAGAAAATGTCTTCAAAATAGAAAATACAAATAGACATCGAAACGTTAGAGTGAACGAGCAACGGGAATTTGCTGTCAAAGCTGCCTTCTACCATAAATAGGTTACCTAGCTGGTGAGAAATAACATCACTTCGTCATCGTCATTGTAGTGGTTGGTGGTCGTCATCAGATCAAACCATATACGGCCATTGAGGACATTAACAGCAGCCATGGCTGGCATAAATCCCAAAACAACCCGCAACATTATCCATTGTAATGTGGATGAAGTCGACCTGCCAGCCAGCCAGCCAGCCAGCTAGCCATTTACAAATACTGGATATTACCAAAAATGTCCACACTGATCGTCATCAGTTGGTCGTTCCAAATGGAGGAGAGGGAGAATGCAGGGGGAATGCATTATGCCTAACGGAATCTAATCACACAAATAAGGACATCTGACATCTTCAAATGAAACGAAACGAATGAAAACAATGAACAACAACAACAACAAAGCCTTCACATAATAATGGTGGTTAGCTACTAAATAAGGCATTGCAGAAGTTTAGCAAACAAACAAAAGAAGAATCTCAACATCATTCATTTGACCATGGCTGGTGGTTTCTTCTCAGCTTATTATGTGGTGGACTGGTGCATTACAATACAATGCTTGTGTGTTTGGATTAGAGGGTGGCGGAGGAAGAGGATTTTTGTTGTGGTGTAGGTATGTTTCTCCTTCTATAAATTTGTCACCGTTCCTAGAAGTTTCTTTTATTTTCAGACATACTTACGTGCATACATATGTACATATGTTTGTAGTTGGTATGTGTAGTAGCAACAAGACCAAGGAAACAGTGGTCGGGAAAATAAGGAAATATGTTAACTGCTTATGTAAGTAGGTGTGTGCCATAATTATGGCTATGGCCATATGGCTATATCATTTGATACAGCCAAAACGTGCCTCATCGAAATAACGGTCTTAGACCCTAGGTCTCTTTGGAACAAATCCATTTCAGGGCATTTGGAGTCGATCTAGCTATGTCCGTCATTCCGTCCGTCTGTCTACTTGGCTGTCTGGTGCGCACGATAACTCTCGAAGAGAGTATCCGATTTGATCCAAACTTAGTACATCGTAATATTATTGTCTAAATTAGATCGAGTTCACAGATGGGCAATATCGGTTCACTTTTTCTGCTACCTCCCCCACAAAAATGTCAAAATTTGTAAAGAAAAAAATTTATTGCACCAAAAGGGAAAGGATAATCCGATTTTGCTCCAAATTTGCATATCCTAGTATTTGCTTAAGCACTATGTCAGGTACGAAAATGGTCAATATCGGCCTACTCTATCAATTTCCTCCCCCACAAAGGGTCAAAATTTGGAATAATTATAACTCTTATAAAATGTGATGTAAGTGTCCGATTGCCTTCATATTACACATATTACAATATTTTTGTTAACTCAAGATTTGGTGTGAAGATGAGATATATCGGTCCACTTCTGGTACCTCCCCCACAAGGGGTCAAAATTTTGAATATTTATGAAGCCGATAAAACACGAAATTACCATCCGATTCCATTCAGACTTGGCACATCTCAATATTTTCATCAACACAAGGTCTGTTATAAAGATGGTGGAAATCGGACTATTCCTTCTCGTACCTCCCCCACAAAAGGCCAACATTTTCAATAACAAATACGATCATAAAATCCAAAATAAGCATCCGATTCTCTTTAAATTACACACAACGCAATATTTTTTTTAATTGACCCAAGGTCTGGTGTGAAGATGGGATATATCGGTCCACTCCTTCTGGTACCTCCACCACAAAGGGTCAAAGTTTTGAATAATCATGAAGCCGATAAAACACGAAATTAACATCCGATTCCATTCCTACTTGGCACATTTCAATAATTCTATCAACACAAGATGTGTCATAAAGATGGTAGAGGTCGGACCATTCCTTCTGGTGCCTCCCCCACAAATTGTCAAATTTTTGAAATACAAAAATGATCATAAGCATCCGATTCTCTTTAAATTACACACAACGCAAGATTTTTATTAACCCAAGGTCTGGTGTGAAGATGGGATATATCGGTCCACTCCGTGTGGTACCTCCCCCACAGAGGGTTAACATTTTGAATATTCATGACGCTCATAAAACGCGAAATTAGCATCCGATTACATTCAGACTTGGTACATCTCAATGTTTCCATCAACACAAGATCTGCTATAAAGATGGTGGAGATCGGACCATTTCTTCTGGTTCCTCCCCCGCATTGGGTTCAGGATTTTTGAAAAAAAAAACGCTCAAAGGAAGCAAAATAAGTTACCAACTCCCTTCAAATTTCACACACCCAAATATTTTGCTAACATAAGATCTCTTGTGAAGATGATATATATCTGCGAACCCCTTCTGGTACCTCACCCACAAAGGGTCTCAATTTCCAATGTTTATATCTGTCATAACTTGCAAAACAAGTCGGCGGTTCTTTACAACTCGGCGATTTTTTATATGGAGGCTATACGAAGACGTGGACCTACATGGTTCATTTTCTGTCTTAAGCCGTAGTATCTATTACGAACTTTAAATACCAATTTTGAAACAATTCCCGCAAATAATGTCGCTAAAACCATCAAAATACCGCATATCGGGAGGTACAGTTATATGGGGGCTATACGAAGACGTGGACCTACTTGTCCCATTTTCAATACCAAAAGTCCTACAGACATAATATACATTTGAGTAAAATTTTATTAACCTACATCATTTCGTTCGGAAGCTAGAGTGATTTCCACAGACGAAAAGACGGACATCGCTAAATCGACATGGAATTTTATGCTGATCAAGAATATATACACCTTGCGGGGTCTAAAATGTATATTTCAAGGTGTTACAAACGGTATGACAAACATGATATACCCTCCATACTATGGTGGAGGGTATAACAAAATAACATGCATTGGCTCCTTAAAGTCATTTAACCGATTAAGACTCAGCTTAGTGCACTTATGCGTCGACGCCAATCGATTTTAGGGCCAGACTAATCTGAAGCCGTTGTGAAGCCTGTCTATAATGTCCTTTCGAGCTTTAAGAGGGAAGGATTCAAGTTTAATGCCTTTAGAAGGAAAGAATTCAATTTTAATGTCTTTAAGAGGGAAGAATGCGAATTCATAGACATGCGTATTTAATCTCCATTTCTTTCCATACCTTTGTTCATGCATTGGCTACTTAAAGTCATTTAAACTATTAAGACTCGGATTAGTGCACTTATGCAAAGACGCCAATCGACTTTGGGGCCATACTAATCTTAAGCCGTTGTGAAGCCTGTCTATAATGTCCTGTTTGCCTTTAGGAGGGAAGGATTCAATTGGAAAGTCTTTAAGAGAGATGAATTCAATTTTAACGTCTTTAAGAAGAAGACGGAAGAATGCATCTTCATACACATGTGTATTTTATCATCTCCAATTTCTTTCCATATCCTTTGTTCCACTGTTCCCACAGGACATTTTTCTATGAATTTACTTTCATATTTTAGTAATGCAGAGATATTAATTTAATTAAAAATCCCCCCCATTTTATTACCCACTCTATTATATCGTCAAGTGGAAATACCCATGAGACAAGATCTCTCTTTACATGGTTCATTATTTTCTAAGCCATTGTTTCTTTTCCATTGAGTTACTTCTTTAGCAATGACCAAGAAAACAAGCATAACAGCCATGATGAAGTACTTCAGAGCTTCTCAAAATTGTTGGAGACTTAATATTTGGTCCATTTAGAAGTGCATTGCAATGCCAGCCAATTGCAACCATTGTTTGCATACTTGGGTCAGTGTTTTTATTTTGTCAAAAAAAAAGACAGCAACAATATGCAATTGTTTTGTGCGACCAACAACAAAACGACATACCATTTTTGTTGACAATGCTCGTTGGTCAAGGTCAAAGGTTGTGATATTTATTATGTTTTTGTTGTGGTTGCTGTGGCCATAAATGAAAATGGAGTGATTTATGGTAACATATTCAAGGAATTGGCGAATATAGATTGCGAAAATAGGAAATGAAGAATGGAAATGGAAACTTTTTAGAGAAGGTAAAGAGAATGACACGCGTTTAGATAAAAACAAAAACTTTTCCCGGGCTAACCATGATAATAATTGGTCTGTTCCAGAACTGCAAAAATGTAAAAGTTTTCACTACGATAACCGATTTTTCCCTTTATGATATCGAAGAAAATTGCAAAACTAGTAGATTCTTGCAGGTACTGGAACAGAGTAAATATTTTGTACAAACTATTACAAAATGTTGTTCGATAATCGAAAAGTCCAGTAAACGACATTGACCGATTTATACTCTTTTATTATTTAAACTGTTGACCCTTTATGGGGAGGTACCAGAAGAAATGGTCCGATCTCTACCATCTTTATAACAGATCTTGTGTTGATAGAAATATTGAGGTGTTCCAGGCCTGAATGGAATCGGATGTTAATTTCGTGTTTTATGAGCTTCATGAATATTCTGAATCTTCACAGCAGACCTTGGGTCAATAAAAATATTATTATGTGTGTAATTTGAATAGAATCGGATGCTTATTTTGGATTTTATGATGGTTTTTATTATTCAAAACTTTGACCCTTTGTCGGGAATGTACCAGAAGGCGTTGACCGATATATCCCATTTTCACACCAGACCTTTGGTTAATAAAAAATTGCGATTTGTGAAATATGAAGAGAACCGGATGCTTATTTCGGATTTTATAATCGTTTTTGGTTATTGAAAATTTTGACGCTTTGTGGGGGAGGTACCCGAAGAAATGGTCCGATCTCTACCATCGTTATAAAAGATCTTGTGTTGATAGAAATATTGAGGTGTGCCAAGCCTGAATAGAATCGAATTTTAATTTCGCGTTTAATGAGCTTCATGCCTATTTAAAATTTTGACCCTTTGTTGGGGAGGTATCAGAAGGAGTGGACCGATGTGTCCCATTTTCACGCCACACCTTTGGTTAATAAAAATATTATGATGTGTGTAATTTGAAGAGAATCGGATGCTTATTTCGGATTTTATGATGGTTTTTGTTATTCAAAACTTTGACCCTTTGTGGGGAGGTACCAGAAGGAGTTAACCGATATATTCTAACTTCACACCAGATTTTTGGTTAATAAAAATATTGTGATGTGTGTAATTTGGAGAAAGTCGGACTCTTACATCACATTTTATAAGACTTATTTAGTCAAAATGTTAACCCTTTGTGGAGGAGGTACCGGAAGGACTGGTCCGATCTGTACCACCTTTATAACAGATCTCGTGTAGATGGAAATACTGAGGTGTGCTAGGCCTGAATGGGATCGGATGTTAATTTCGTGTTTTATGAGCTTCATGAATATTCAAAATTTAGACCTTTTGTGGTGGAGGTATCAGAAGGAGTGGACCGATATATCCCATCCTCACGCCAGACCTTGGGTTAATAAAAATATTTTGCTATGTGTAATTTGTAGGCAATCGGACTCTTACATCACATTTTATAAGAGCTATAATTATTTAAAATGTTGACCCTTTGCGGGGGAGGTACTTTATGGACCGATATTGACCATTTTCGCACCTGACCCCGCACTGTGTCAAATATTAGGATATGCAAAGTTGGAGCAAAATCGGATTATCCTTTCTTTTTTTGTGCAGTAAAATATTTTCTTTGAAAATGTTGACATTGTGTGGGGGAGGTACCAGAAGGAGTAGACCGATATTGCCCATCTCCGAACACGATCTAAGTTTGACAATAATATTACGATGTACCAAGTTTGGACCAAATCGGATACTCCCAACACTGTTTGATTTTCTAAAGGTCTAAAAATGTTCTCTAGCAGATTTCTATCAACAGAAAATCTCTCCAAAAAAGTCTTTAAAAGGATAGACTTCTATGAGTTATTACCTCTGTAGAAGACCTTTGGTATATTTTCTATTTACAACGAACCTCTGGAATATCTTCCATCTTCAAAAGATCACTAGGAGGTCTTCAATTTATAATTAATGCTCAAACCAATCAGTAGAATGTCCCTGGAAGTTTTCTATTTCTCCAAGAATTCCGTCAATTAAACATGCCATTTATTTCGAGTGTAAACCTAATGATAATAACAATTAAAATTATAAAGTATATTTAACATTTTTTCATGCAAATCAAAATAACAACAACAACAATGACAAAAAGTCAAAATCACAAAAATTCCTCTCTTTTGAATTTAATTAAATAAACAATACGTCGACGCAGCGTAACAGTAGTAAAACCCTGCTGTCATGATCGCTGTCAAAACACACGAAGGTGATTATGATGACGGCGTTGTGTACGTCGACGTTGGCGCCGTCGTCGATGAACAATAACAAAAATCCCGCAAACACAAAGCCAACGCAGAAAACTTAAACGAACAGGCGGCAACGGGCGATAGCTTTTGCGCGATGCGATACAAAGAAAAACAACAATAACGTTTTCGCCACAAGTAAACAAAAGGCAAAACAGCGATCAGTCGAGAATTGAATGCGGAACGCGGAACGTGTAAACACGGTGTTTGATGAGAAAGAACTGTACGGAGCAAATCAATCGCATACGTTTTATTAAGGCGCTTTAATAAATTCTGTTTTCTGTCAAAGAAAACTTGAACGTAAAAAGAAGGCAATAACAATAATAAAATACAAAATAAATAAGCAAAATCAACAACAACATCATCATCATCGTCATACTATAAAAATAACGTTTGAAAAAATAAAAAAGCATTTAATTTTCGAAAAAAATAAAAGATCTTGAAAACGTAAAATTTTCAGAAATTACTCGAAAATAAACAACAAAAAAAGATAAACGACATAACGGTCTCGAAGTGCTTTAAATAACAGTGATACTTAAGGCCGAAGTAAAAACAGTTGTCTGAACTGTTTGTTTTTTTCTTCAACAAAAAAATTTAAATAAACAAGGTGAATAGTTTATGTTAATTATGTTAAATAATTTACAAATTCAACTCTTTTTGGACTTTAGAATATATATCATATTAAGGAAATATTTTGAGTAAAGGTGAGGGCACATAAGCAGCTTGCCATCATGGCTAGGCATATTAGTGTCAAATTATAAGGGGAAATGACGGCAGGATTCGAGTGCGGCAACTGGCATCCCATTATGATATATCACAAAATATACCATTCGAAGGCTTCATGCTGTTTATGTACTCTCATCTTAAATGATGAAAAATTCAGCTCGCTCATACCATGTTCATATTCAGGAATTTTACCATGGAAATGGGTGTTTATTTCATAAAAATTGTGCCATAAATCATGGTAGAAGAATTCTGGTAGATGCATACATGGTACAATAAAGAGGTAAGGTAGATCTACCAGCTGATTAAATTTTTTTCTAAGTGTGTCCGACTCCTGCCAATTTTGTGTATGTATTTGTTGTTTTTAAAAATAAAAACAAAATATTTTCAAAATCAATGATTGGAAGAAACGTACATTGCAGGACGCACATTAAAGGTAATAGCCATTTTTGCCATGGAATCGGAAGATTGATCAATTTAGATCATATTTTTGACAGAAAATCCAGGCATTTAATACATCTTTCGCGATTTTTAATCAATATTCAAAATAATGAAAAATATTAAATAAATTAGAGCCACTTGTTGCATCCACTTGTCAAAAAATTTTATATATATATTTTAATAAGTTTTCATATGCGACGTCAATCGGAAGACGTTAAAATAAGTTTTTTTTTAACAATTTTTACAAACTTCAATTGTTTTTCATTAAAAATTTTCAATTCCAAAATTAGTTTGACAGTTCATTGTCCCAGCAGCTGTGTCGATGCGACTACCCCTATTCTTCTACCATGACTTAAATTATGAAAAATTCAAATTGTGCCATAAATAGATCATAATAATAGACTTCAATGTAAACATTGTCTGAGCTCCTTTTCAATGCGACTTAGACAGGGGCTGAAAAATTATGGACAACAATAAGAATAAAAGGCAGTAAGGAAAAGTCAAAAGTCGGGAGGGGCCGACCATATGATAACCTACACCACTATGCATATTTAGTAGAGTTCTCGTAACAAAAGAATTCATTTGAAGTAGATCATACCACCTATCAACATTTGGCTATTGAGCAGTTATAATTTGGTTTCAGAGGGAACTAATATATGGGAGGCATATCCAATTCTCAACCGATTTTCACTAAATTTGACGGAAACATTTTTATTTTTTTATTCCAAATATCATTGCTATGGAGTGCATGATATCACTTCGAGAAGGATTATGTATAAATACATATTGGAGCCCAGTTCCACAAAATGGAAACGTACGTCTTGAAATTCACTCCATTTGCGCTGATATTAGCCGTTATTTCCCCAATTGACCCGAAATCGGTTAAAGATATATCTGGGAGCTATATTCAAATCTGAACCGATCTCGATAAAATTGGGCAAAGGTATTTTCGAGCTCTATAAGATATCTGGTACCAAAAATAATTGTTGTCGAATGCATATTACGAATATGGGGTACCTAAACACCAAATCGGATGAAAGATATATATGGGAGCTAAAGCTATATCTGAACCGATTTTCACCAAATTTGATGTACTCGCTTCTAGACTGAATTCGTAGGATGTGGCAAAATTCAGGCCATAGGGACCGATATTGACTATTTGGTGCACAATTAACCCGAAATCGGTAGAAGATATATAAGGGAGCTATATCCAAATCTAAACCGATGTTGATACAATTAGGCAGAGATATTTCTGCATGAGATATCTGATATCAATTATCGTTTTTATGGGGTACATATTACGAATGTGAGGGGCTTGAAAACCCAAATCGGATGAAGCATATATATATATATATGGGAGCTATAGTTATATCTGAACCGATTTTCACCAAATTTGATGTACTCCCTTCTAGACTGAATTCGGTCGGAAGTGTTAAAATTCACTCCATTTTGTTATATGTGGGAGCAATATCAAAATCTGAACCGAAATTTGGCAGAGGTATTTTTGAGATGTATCTGATACCAATTATCCTTGTTGTCGAAATCGGATGAAACATATATAGCTATATCTGAACCGATTTTCACTAAATTTGATGTACTCGCTTCTAGACTGAATTCGGTCGGATGTGCCAAAATTTAGGTCATTTGGACTGACGTTGGTTATTTGGTGCACAATTAACCCGAAATCGGTTGAAGATATATATGGGAGCTATATTTAAATCTGAAGCGATCTTGATAACATTTGGCAGAAGTATTTCCGAGCTGTATCTGATACGAAATATCATTGTTTTCGAATGCATATTACGATATGGGGTACCCAAAGACTAAATCGGATGAAAGATATATATAGGATCTATAGCTATATCTGAACCGATTTTCACCAAATTTGATGTACTTGCTTCTAGACTGAATTCGATCGGATGTTCCAAAATATTGGCCATTTGGTGCACAATTAACCCGAAATCTGTTGAAGATATACATGTTAGCTATATCCGAATATTCGATAAAATTTCTAAAATTCTGATATCAAATATCATTGCTTTCGAATGCATATTACGAATGCTATAGCTATATATGAACCGATTTCCCCCAAAATTAATGTACTTACTTCTAGACTGATATCGGTGTGCCAAAATTCCAGTCATTTGGGCTGATGTTGGATATTATAAAAATATAATAATATTAATAATAACAAATATATGAATAATAACAAATATAATATAGTAAGTATTATAATTTAAATAACTAAAGTTTTACAAAATTAAAAATAAATCCATCCCAAAGTAATACAAAATAACAATAATTATATTATTTTGATTATTATTATTAAAAGCATTAAATTTATTATTATTATTATTATTATTATTACTATTATTATTATTATTATTATTATTATTATTATTATTATTATTATTATTATTATTATTATTATTATTATTATTATTATTATTATTATTATTATTATTATTATTATTATTATTATTATTATTATGTATAAATATATATTGGAGCCCAGTTCCACAAAATGGAAACGTACGTCTTTAAATTCACACCATTTGCGCTGATATTAGCCATTATTTCCCCAATTAACCCGAAATCGGTTAAAGATATATATGGGAGCTATATTCAAATCTGAACCGATTTTGATAATATTTGGCAAAGATATTTCCGAGCTCTATAAAATATCTGGTGTCAAATATCACTGTTGTGGAATGCATATTACAAATATGAGGTACCTAAAGACCAAATCGGATGAAATATATATATGGGAGATATAGCTATATCTGAATCGATTTTCACCAAATTTGATGTACTTGCTTCTAAACTGAATTCGGTCGGATGTTCCAAAATTCAGGTCATTTGGACTGACGTTGGCCATTTGGTGCACAATTAACCCGAAATCGGTTGAAGATATATATGGGAGCTATATTTAAATCTGAAGCGATCTTGATAACATTTGGCAGAAGTATTTCCGAGCTGTATCTGATACGAAATCTCATTGTTTTCGAATGCATATTACGATATGGGGTACCCAAAGACTAAATCGGATGAAAGATATATATAGGATCTATAGCTATATCTGAACCGATTTTCACCAAATTTGATGTACTTGCTTCTAGACTGAATTCGATCGGATGTTCCAAAATATTGGCCATTTGGTGCACAATTAACCCGAAATCTGTTGAAGATATACATGTTAGCTATATCCGAATATTCGATAAAATTTCTAAAATTCTGATATCAAATATCATTGCTTTCGAATGCATATTACGAATGCTATAGCTATATATGAACCGATTTCCCCCAAAATTAATGTACTTACTTCTAGACTGATATCGGTGTGCCAAAATTCCAGTCATTTGGGCTGATGTTGGATATTATAAAAATATAATAATATTAATAATAACAAATATATGAATAATAACAAATATAATATAGTAAGTATTATTATAATTTAAATAACTAAAGTTTTACAAAATTAAAAATAAATCCATCCCAAAGTAATACAAAATAACAATAATTATATTATTTTGATTATTATTATTAAAAGCATTAAATTTATTATTATTATTATTATTATTACTATTATTATTATTATTATTATTATTATTATTATTATTATTATTATTATTATTATTATTATTATTATTATTATTATTATTATTATTATTGTTATTGTTATTATTGTTATTATTATTATTATTATTATTATTATTATTATTATTATTATTATTATTATTATTATTATTATTATTATTATTAAAAGTATAATATTTGTTATTATTATTACTATATTTTAGTATTTTTTTTTTACTTTTCATATTCACTTATTTTATAAAAAAATATGATTTCATTTTTTAACTCAAATCTAAACAATATCCAGCATTTCTTTAACACTTTCTACTATAAACAAACAAAAAACTGCAACATAATGACTCATTTGTTAACTCATTCCAAATTAGTACTTCAAAAAAACAAAGTGGATTATTTGTTGGTATTGAAAAATATTAAAAAAAAACGTTTTCAATGACATGATTAATTGTTGGGTAATTTTTAAATTCTCTCTCATTTGTTTTTGTTTTAATTTCTATTTTGTTATTATTGAATGCATTTGCATGTAGAACAAGAGAGTGTTTGATGTTTTTCGCTCCCCTCCCAGTATCGATTGTGGGTTTTATCGAATTGAAAACATGAAATAAATTAATTAAGTTATAAACAATCAATTGAAAATTGATCAATTACACAAACGAGTTCAGCCACATTGCGAAAGATGTCTGATAAGAAGAAATGGGAAAAGAGAATCTTTGGGGTATTTGAGAAAATGTGTTCCCCAGGCATCGAAAAAAAAGCGGCTTTAGTTATTAGGTCTGGCTGATTATTATACCCTATACCATGGTAGAAGAATACAGTTAGATGCATCTACGCTTGGAAACATTGATACGT